TGGTCTACTGCTGCTGCTGCTGCTGCTGCTGTCGAAACAAAGAGGGCGCTGTGTGTGTGTATGTGTGTGTGCGTGTGTGTATGCAGAAGTGGCTGTTCCTTCTTGGTTGTGCTTGTGCTTCTTCGCTTCCTTTGCTGCTGATGCTGATGCTTCACTTGGGTGTGTGGAGTGATGCACACCGCTTCCTCGTCCTTCCTGTGCTGCTCCTTGCACTGCTGCTTCTCGCTGCTACAGCTGCTGCTTTTGGCTGTCTGTCTGTCTGTGTGGCTATCTCGTGTGGAGGGAGAGCTGGTGTTTGTGGGAGAGCGTTGGTGTGTGTTGTCACATCAAAGGGAGCGGCGGGGAATGTGCTCGTTGTGGTTGTCCGTTCATCGCGTCAGGGTGCACAACGGCAACCAGCACAGATGTGTTGGCTGACGAAGGCAAACCCGTCGACACGGAGCGAGGCGGATTGCTTGCTCGTCTTGCTGTTGCTCGCATTGCTCACACAACAGTGAAGGCCTTTGGAATGGCTGCAAGTGGCGGGCGCGGTCAGGGTCGGGTGCTCTGCTGCTGCGGCGATGATATTTGGTGGGATCCTCACGTCCAACATGCATGCTGCGTGCAATACGAGCTCGTGCGCTCTTGCGTTGCTGGTGGCTGTTTGTTGTGGTGGTTGTGATCGTCGTTGGTTGTTGCTTGCTGTTGTTTTGTTTGTTGTTTGTTAGTTGCTGTTGTTTGTTTGTTGTTGTTACGTTTTTGCTTGTTTGTTGCTGGCGTGCCATGTCCTCCTGTCATCTTGCTCGCTGTGCTCACCACACAACCTCGACCATTCCAATGCTTCAGTCGTCAGGGGTGGGGACGGAAGTCGACAGCTTGCTCGTCGCATGTCTGTGACTTGTGTTGCTGGCGTGTTGTTGCTGATGCTGGCGTGGTGTTGCCTTGTTGCTGATGTTGGTGCATGCACACATCTGGATATGTGCGTGCGTGCGTGCTTGCTTGCTTGCTCGTAGGCGTTGGTAAGAACGACAAACAAGGCACTAAGGCAGCACCACCACCAACACCACAATCCTCTCTTCCTCTTCCTCTTCCTCTCCCTCCTCCTCCTTCTTCTCCTTCTTCACTTCTTCCTCGACCCAATCCCGTCAGGCCATCCAGCGCGTGACCGTCGCGGCAGCTCTTGCTTGCTCACTGACTGCTCGTTGGTATGGTGTGTCACGACCGGACGCACGCAGGTCGCGAGCGAGCGAGCATGCTCCTTCTTGCGAGCCATCAGGTTATGTGATGTGATGTGACCTGACCACGAGCCACGCTTGCTGCTGCTGCCGTTGTCCTTGAAGGTCCTCCTAGCCGGCTCTTGGCCTATTACTATGCCAATAGGGCTGACATGTTCCAAATGTGCAATTCCGTCCGTTTGTGCATCCTGGTTAAATGAAGGACACTTGCATGCCTCCAGAAATGAAAAGTATTTGAAAACAATCGCCAAAGTTCTGCTGTCGCAATCTTGCATGACTTCTGTCAAAGCAACTCGCTCGGCTGCTGTGTTGCCGCATTTTCGCTGTTTTGTGTTTCTTTTGGCCACTGACTGCTGTTTGTGTTTTGCGATCGCATCATCCCACACCACCGGATATGAAGCTGTTTGTTCTTGCTGTCCTTGCGGCCTGCGTTGCCGCCAGCGCTGCGCTGACCATCCCTGCTCGCTGCCAGAGCCCCAAGCAGTTCTACGGTACGTTGTGCGTGTACTGAGTGTGCTTGTGTGGTTTTATGGTGCATTGTTTGTTGTCTTTGTTTGGCCATTGTTTGCAAGCGATATGGTGTGAACGTACTTTTGGACGCTGCTGCTCCCAACACACTGACCATTCCCGCATGCATGGACATGTACACATACAGGCCAGGTCTTTGCCTTTGAGCAGCACCGCTCTGAGCGTGGTGAGGTCCAGGGTGACTACTTCTACGATGAGACCAACATGTATGTTGATTGCTGTTGTTTGTTTGTTTGTTTGTTTGTTTGTTTGGGTTTCAGTTGTTGTTGAAGTTGTTGTCTCAGTTGTTGTTCTTGTTTGTTGTTGTTGTTTGTTGTTGTTTGTTGTTGTTGTTGTTGTTGTTGTTGTTGTTGTTGTTGTTGTTGTTGTTGTTGTTGTTGTTGTTGTTGTTGTTCTGTTGCCTTTCGCTGCCCTTTCGCTGCCCTTTCGCTGCCCTTTCGCTGCATGTCCTCATCGTGCCATCATCACCGCCTTGTTTCCTTCCGCTCAGGCGCAAGGCCCGTTACGAGCGCGCCCACGTGAACGGCAGCAACTACCGCCTGCACATCATCGAGCTCTTCAACGAGAAGAAGTACTACGAGATCAACCTGGACACCGACGAGTGCCGCTCCGGCGACCTGACCGCTCCCTTCATCCCCCACGGTGTTGTCCGCAACGCCACCTTCCGCGGCGACTTCATTGTTGGCACCTCCGCCATTGAGGGCGCCGGCGTCGAGATTGAGCTCTGGACCCACGAGTTCCAGCATGAGGGCCACCGCTTCTACTGGACTGGCGAGTTCACCCGCGTTGCCTGCGTGCCCGTCCGCACCACCGTCCAGGGCGAGCAGGGCGAGTTCTTCACGGAGTCCTTTGTCGACGTCGTTGGCGGCATCCCAGACCCCAACGCCTTTGTTGTGCCTTCCAGCTGCAACTAAGCGTGCGCGAAGCCGGGCGTGAACAGGGGCGCTGGCCGACATTCGGCGCTTGGAAGCCGTACTCAACTCAGTTCACGTGCTCCTGGTCACATGCATCCTCTTCCCAATACCCCATACCTTTACAACACTCCCTACTCTGATCGCCTGATGCGCTTTGTTCGTGTTATCGCTTTCTCCCTCCTCTTCTGTTCAGAAGCAACAGCAGCAAGCCCTTCATGTCACAGTGGAACGTGCATGTCTGTGTTCTCCTCTGTTCCTTGCTCCAACCAACCAACAGTGAACTGACCACAAACCAACCGCATGTACTGATGATGATGATGATGATCACGACAATAGCAAGAAAATGGCGATGACGATGATGGAAGCCAGGTTCAGACACATAGCAATGCTCGCACACACTCCCTCTTTCCAAGCCACCTCACTCGCGCACTCGCATCCACCCGCTTGATGTCTCGCGGGTGGAAGGGTTGCGGTTGGGGGGGGGGGGGGAAGGGGGGAGGCTGCATCACCGCATGAGGAACCGCTGTGTAAACTCAGCCTGCATCAGCTCGCCCTCAAACTGCAAACGCCAAACACGCACACACACACACACACACACACACACACACACACACACACACACACACACACACACACACACACACACACACACACACACACACACACACACACACACACACACACACACACACACACACACACGACGACGTACGGT